CCCATCGCCAACTCTCCCTTTTGTCCACTTTCATCCCTCACACTGTGGTGTGTGTTTTTTTTGACATGGGGTGCGGGCAGATTACGGGGCTCTCATAGTGCTGCGGCCCCTAATCTGCCATGGGCCCCTATATCCGCCTCCTCCTGCTGCTGAGGTCCAGAGGCTGTCATGGGTCCTGTACGGCCTCCCATTGCTGCTGTCTCATGCCACACTCTGCATGTGCCACTTTCAGGTCTCTCAACACTGCTGGTGTGTTCCATTTTTTTGTCATAGGGAGCTGGCAGATTACGGGCCTCTACATTGCTGCTGCCAGGCCCCTAATCTGCCATAGGCCCCTATATACCGCCTCCTCATGCTGCTTGCCAGGTCCAGAGTCCTCTCATGGGTCCCTGTAACGGCCCCCATTGCTGCTGTCTCCATCGCCACACTCTGCCATGTGCCACTTTCAGGTCTCCTCACACTGCTGGTGTGTAGAATTTGTTGACATAGGTGCTGCAGATTACGGCATCCCATATAGCTGCTGCTGCCAGGCAACGTAATCTGTCCATGGGCCCCCGTACCGACTCCTCATGCTGTGACTTTGCAACAAGGTGGAAAATTGTCAACCCCTACTATGTTAGACCCGCCTTTAAACGAACAGCGAAATCGCCATCACTCATGATTTGCCTGATGTACCAAAGCGGATAAAGTGTACTCTCCCAGTGAACCTTAGATAGTCAGCACATTGGCAGCTCATCGCGTGACACCTGCGCTTGCTCAGGCCCTTTGAGGAGGCCACGCTATCTCATGCGGAGTCGGCAGGACTATGGGTCCCTGAATGACGTCATTCCTCTGTTGCTCATCGTCCTGGAAACAAATGCTGCCATTGTAACAATCGCAGGTCAGGGTGCCGGTAGACGTGGGCGCACTAGATCTCAACGCCACATGACCCCGGTGGGGGGCAGACAGGAAGAATAGGAGGAGGTAAGAGGAGGACAATTGGTGCTCAGGCCAATAATTGAGTGAAATGGGTGTTTTTTTCCCTCAGGACGACAGGAGGTGGAGGGAGCAGGAGCATCTGGTAGAGGAGGAGGGAGGAGGAGGAGACAGAGGACCCAGACGCACCGTGGCAGTATGCTGTGGAGATGGAGGCAGGGAGTCCCTCGCATTCCTTGGCACAAATGGCCCATAGCATGCTCGGTTGCTTGCGTAGCGACAGCCGAATAAAAAAACCACCTATGTAGTCAGCTGGTCTCTGCCTGTCTGCGCCAACGTCCATCCTCAGACACTGTGGGCCCTGTGCGCTCGCGTTCCGCTGCCATGGCAGCAGGGGAGGGGTGGGGTGGTAGGAGCAGTGGCAGCTCCACCAGCAGCGGCTGCCTCAGTCTGCAGTCGATGATGAGTAGCTTTCTTCACCAGCGCAGTGAGGAAACTACTAACCAGCCGCAGCAGCAGCAGCATCAGGTGGACCTGGAGCAGGACCTCAAACAACAGGCTTAGGCCTACTTGGACAGCACCCTGCCAACCGAGGTAGACAATCCCCTTGACTACTGGGCAACAAAACTTGACCTTTGACCCCAACTAGCTGAATTTGCCCTTGAAAGGCTGTCATGCCCGGCCAGTAGCGTGGCATCGGAGCGCGTGTTTAGTGCGGCAGGAGGTATTGCAACTCCGCGGAGGACACGACTGTCCACCCAAAGTGTGGAGAGACTCACGTTTGTGAAAATGAATCAGGCGTGGATTAGTCTGGATTTCAAACCACTAGTTCCTGACACAACTGACTAAATCCGCCATGAATCATGCCCCAAACATGTGCCACTTTCAGGTCTCCTCACACACTGCTTGTGTTTTCAATTTTTTGACATAGGGTGCTGGCAGATTACGGGCCTCCCATAGCTGCTGCCAGGCCCCTAATCTGCCATGGGCCCCTATATACCGCCTCCTCATGCTGCTGCCAGGTCCAGAGTGTCTCATGCCATGTGCCACTTTCAGGTCTCCTCACACACTGCTGGTGTGTTCAATTTTTTTGTCATAGGGTGCTGGCAGATTACGGGCCTCCTATAGCTGCTGCCAGGCCCCTAATCTGCCATGGGCCCCTATACCGCCTCCTCATGCTGCTGCCAGGTCCAGAGTCTCTCATGGGTCCCTGTACGGCCTCCCATTGCTGCTGTCTCCATCGCCACACTCTGCCATGTGCCACTTTCAGGTCTCCTCACACACTGCTGGTGTGTTCCATTTTTTGTCATAGGGTGCTGGCAGATTACGGGCCTCCCATTGCTGCTGCCAGGCCTGTAATCTGCCATGGGCCCCCGTACCGCCTGGTCACGCTGCTGCTGGGTCCACAGTGTGACATGGGTCCTTGTACCGCCTCCCATTGCTCCCACTGCATGTGCCACTTTCAGGTCTCCTCACACTCCTGCTGGTTTCCATTTTGTCATAGGTTGCTGTATGGCCTCCCATTGCTGCTGCCTCCACCGCCACACTGTGGCTCCAAACACTGGTTTTGGCCCCGTGACTGGCCAAATGAGTGAAGTGTGCGGTGATTCTAAGATCGACGGCACTCATCTGCATGTCATACTGAGTGACAGTATTATTTCTCTTCCCCAGCAGACTCCAAGGGCATTTAAATTAAAGGTACAGTGTTCTGCACTAATATTAAGTCTCTCTGAAGCCTAGAAACACCCTTTTTTAAGTTAAATTCACAGCGAATTTATTCGACTCGAATCGAATATTGTCCACGAATTCGCCGAATCAGTCGAATCGAATTTTTCATTTCTTCGCTCATCTCTAGTTGTAAAGGTTGGTGGGAAGTTTGAGTACTGATTGTTGAGTAAAAACGTGTTTCCTGCAAGAAAAGTACCTGCACCCCCAGCCATTTGGAGCTCCAACCACAACTTGCTGTGCTTGTGTGGGGAGCAGAGACCCTGAACATTATAAGAAATTACCTTAAGTGAAACCATAGCGGACATAAAAAAACAGTTAGACCACCAAAAAGCTCCAGCAGGCATGCTGTGGGTGATGTGGTGAAGGCACTTCCTAAATAGGAAAAAACAAAATAACACATAATAAGAAAAGTGATACCAAACAATTTGATGGACTAGATCCAGTGAGTCCAACACCTGAGATAGCTGCAGATCTGGGCTGAGATGTAACTCTGCAAGGGACAGACTCCCGGGCTCAGGCCTGTCTCCCCCAAAGGGGCCTACACCTACTGTATAAAGGTTAGGCCTACTTGGGAAACAGGGGCCAAAATAAAAGAAAACTTCGGAGCCTGCGCTCCGCCCACACTATCAACGTAGGTTAAAGAAAACAGGGGAGGCTAAAGTTCAGTGGCCATCGGCACACGGGGGGGACACAGAAACACAAGCCAGTGATGCTTTTAATGTACACATCAAAATTTTAAAAACAATTGCAAAAAAGAAAAAGGGGGAAAAACAAGGTAGGATGAGGTCCCCACATTGAAAACCTGAGTCTGCATAAGTAGCAAGGTAGATATAGTTTGGGAACTTGATCTGTCCTGGAGAGACGAAGGTCCTGGTGAGGAGCCCGAGAAGGGTCATTTGCAGTCCCTAGAGCGGCCCCTGCCTCTCGCAGGCAACCAGGGTTGTGGCAGTGGGGGAACAGGCAGGTCCTGAGTACAATGCTAGTCAGGGAAGTTGACAGGCTCCAGCCCCAAAGCTGACAAAAAGCACAGGAGGCGATTCTTGTTCCATAATGACTTGTTGACCATCTGTGATGACCTGCAAGTTAAAGGGAAGCCTCATCTGTAAGTGAGGTCCACAGCCTGGATGGCAGCTAGCAGGGGGCGGAGGGCTCTGTATTGCATAAGAGTGCACCTGGAGATAGAGGAGTAGGTGGGCTCCATCAAAATCAAATAATGGTTTATTTCGCAATTTTGAAATGATACAGTCTTTAAGCTTATACTTATGTAGCTTAAAGATAACATCCCTTTGGACTATCTGGGTCTTGAGAGGGGGGTCTGAGGGCCCTATGAGCCCTATCAATTTCAATGGGAGCCGTGGCAGGGAGTCCCAGGATTTCTCTAAATATTCCAACCAGAGTAGGGATAATGTCCCTGGGATCCGTAGCTTCTGGCAAGCCGGGAATTTGGATACTTGCCTGCTGGCTGCAGATCTCAAAGTCATCCAGCTGACAAAGCAAGGTTCTCTGGTCTTGGGCTGTACGCTGGTCCTTAAGCAAAAAAATGGAAGGAAGGGCCTCATCATATTTTTGCTAAAGTTATTCAAGTCTAGTCCCTAGCTGGGTAGTGTCTGATATAACTTATTCAATGTTCTGTTTGAAGGCCTTCTCCACTCTATTAATAAAGCGTTCCAGGTCCTCTTTAGTAGGGAGAGACCAAATATGGCATTTAAGGTGTCCATTCCCTAGAAATTCCACTAGATCGGAGCCCCTATCCTGTGATGCAGTGGAGCAGGAAGAGGTGAGGGGGCTGAATTAATCACCGATCTCAAAGAAGGAATCTGGGAGACGGCTGCTGGAGAGCAGGGCTGCCTGCTGTCAGGGAAGAAGGCCTCCAGCGATCCTCGAGCAATCCTTGTCAAGAATGGTCCTTGGTGGCTGGGAAGATGTCTGCTGGAGCTGGGGCATAGTAGGAGGCTGTATTCAGCAGAGATCGCCTCTGTAGCTGAAATTAAAGCAGTGGTGTGAGCAGAGCTACAGAGCAGGCATGTCCGCACTCCTCCATAGCCAGGCCACGCCCCCATTAGGGCTGTCTTTAAGGAGGGGCAAAAAGGATAGCTTCCCTGGGCCCAGTCATTTTTGGGTGGCTCAAAGCAGCTGCCCCATACTTGCCAACTGTACTGGTTTACATTCCCTTGTCCCTGGAAGTGTTTGTTCCAGGCTATGTCTGATATCTAAGTGTGAATTGCTGTCACTTATGCTGTCCAGCTCTGTGCTATTGCCATGTACAGATGACTCACCTGTGCAGACCTTGTCAGCATTCACATGTAAATAATGACTTCATTCATATGTAAATAGAGATGGCAATGTAGCATTCATATGTAAATAGTGACAGCAATGTGGAATTCATATACATATTATGCCCCTTGAGGTTCCAGCCACCAACACCTCTGCTTGTGGTCAGTGTTAATTCCCCCTAACATTGTTGGCCAGTGTAGAAATGTTTTGGTTGTTGGTGTAAAATCCACCATTACATGGATGTCAGTGTAAATCCTTTAATACAATGGTGGTCAGTGCAAATTCTTCATTACATTGGTGGCCAGTATAAATCCCCCTTACATTGGTCATCAGTTTTAATCCCCCCTAACAATGGTGGTCAGTGTAGAAATGTTACCTCTCATCCCTATCCTCCCTGTCCAGCACCGCCACTGATCCCATCCACCCCAAGCACTGTCACTGATCCCATCCCCCCATTAGCATGGTCACTCATTCCATCTCCCTGTGCGTTGCCACTTATTCCATCCTCTCCACCACTGCCACTGATCCCTTCCCCGCACCACTGCCACTGAACACATCAACCTTCCCCACAGCACTGCCACTTATCACACCCTCTTACTCAGCACTGCCATTGATCTCAGGAGTCCTAGGAGTTTTCTGTCTATTGGTGGGTCCTCTAACCTTCTGAGTCCATGGTGTGCAGGCAGTGGGGAGATGATGTGCTGCAACCTTAAGCAACCAGTCAGTGAGACGTAATTAAGTGCTGTAACGTCTAGCAACCAAGCAGTGCATGGTAAGGATGTGCAGTAACCTGTGGCAACCAATGGGTGAGTGGTAATGATATGCAGTAACGTCTAACAACCAATCAGTGAGAGGTAATAATGTGCGGTAACCTCTAGTAACCAACCAGGAACCAGTAATAATGTGCAGTAACCTCTAGCAACCAATCAGTGAGCGGTAAGGATGTGCAGACACCTCTAGAAACCAATTAGTTAGCAGTAATGATGTGCAGTAAGCTCTAGCAACTAATCAGTGAGCTGTAATGTGTGTTGTAACCTCTAGCAACCAGTTAGTGAGTGGCAATGATATGCTGTAACCTCCAGCAAATAATTGCAATTGCTGCCTGATCTGCTGCAGTAAATTGATTTTGAGTTTAGCTGCTGTTTATTGTGCAGCTGGAGAGCAAAATTTCATGGGGGAGCCCAAGAAAATATTTGCCCAGGGTCCAATCAATATTAAAGACTGCCCTGGCCCTCGTACCTGTTTGTTTGCAACCATTGGTCCTGTACATTCTTGTAAAAATCAGAGATGAAAAGGATTTTTCACAGACTCACCAAGCAGGGGAGCTGCAGTTACACACTGTACAAGAGCTGTGAGAGCTGATTGGATGGAAGGGTCACACCACCCTTCACACAGCACACAGGAACAGAGCCAAGCTTCTCAATCTTCTGGAAGTCCCTGCCTGTCACCATTTTTCTCTGGGTGTCAGTAAAACTTTTCAGAAGGGACTTACGCTAATAGCAGAGGAACTAGACAGCAGAGAGAAATGACACTGAGTGCTTTGGAGAGAGGCAAGTAAACACTATAGAAATATGTGCTTTGCTCATGTCTGAGGTTTACAATCACTTTAATGCAAAGAATGCATTAAGGTAAAAAAAAAAAAACCTTCTGTCTTTAGAACCACTTTAAAGTGGTTGTAAAGGCTCAAGGCTTTTTATCTTCATGTGATCTATGCATGAAGGTAAAAAGCATCTGTGTGCAGCGGCCTCCCCAATCCTTATTTGAGACCCCGTTCAATCCATCAAAGTTCTCGACAGCATCTGCTGTCTGGGTATTCTTCCTCCTCATTGGCTGAGACAGCAACAGGATCCCATTGGCTCCCGCTGCTGTCAATCACAACCAGTGAGCCAATGAGGAGAGAGCATGGGGGGCGGGGCCGAGCCATGGATCTATGTGTCTTATGGATGCTTGGGGCAGGGGCGGACTGACAACTCATGGAGCCCCCGGGCAATAGGGAATCATGGGGCCCCTGTGTCCTTGCCCAAACTCAAAAAAGCCTATGAAAAAGGTATCAGGGGCATCTCATGGGGCCCCCTACTGACCCCGGGCCCACAGGCAGTGCCCCGAGTTTCCAAATGGTCAGTCCACCCCTGGCTTGGGGACAAGCACACAGTGGTGCCCCCAGGGTGAGCTGCGTTCCCTGGGGGCACTGCTTGAGGGAGAAGAGCCAGGAGTGCTGTTGGGGACCCAAAAAGAAGAGGATCGAGGCTGCTCTGTGTAAAATCACTGCACAGAGCAGGTAAGCATAGACGTTTGTTATTTAAAAAACAAAACACGAACCTTTAGTGTCATTTTAAGCTGTCTGTTAGAAGGCAATGTTCAGATCTAGTTAACAACTGATGAGATCTACCAACATAGTACAGATAGGGTTAATTATGGTAAACATAACTCCGCAGCCCACTTCTTAACTTCTTTTTTTTTTTTTGTGTGGAAAAAAGTGAACTTACCCTTTAGGTTATGCTATGTGACTATGTAACAAATGTAACAAATATAAAGTAGGTGTCATCCCAATATGGCTGCAAAAGTGGAAATACACTGCAGGGTTAATTCACATGTGCACACTGCCCCATACAGAGTGAAGAGTCATTTTATCTTTTTGAAGCAGTGCTGAGCTGCATGTGGGCAGCCTATGGAAGTGAATGCTGGATCGAGGGAAAGGTAACTGTCCGTTTTTTAAAAGT